ATTCAAATTCCAAATTAAGTAAAAGTTCTGTTGTAGCACACAGGTTAAACTTTGATCCTCAAGTATGAGTCTCATGTTCCGGGTGTGAAGCCCGGTAGCGGAAAATATTTTGTTAAACAATCTTTTATAGTTTTATATCTTAAAAAAAAGAAGGGAATTTAAAACAAATATATATTATTTAAATTCATAAGCTAACAAAAGTTCCACTGTAGCGTACAGATTAAACTTGATGTTTAAGTGTAAGAATCATGTTTCGGGTTCAAAACTCGGCAGCGGAAAATATTTTGTTAAACTAAAAAAAATGGAAATTAAAAACAAATATTTTATATAATTTCATAAGCTAACAAAAGTTCCGATGTAGCGCACAGGTTAAACTTGATGCTGAAGTATAAGAATCATGTTCCGGGTTCAAAACCCGGTAGTGGAAAATATTTTGTTAAACAATCTTTTATGTTATTAAAAAAAAAAAGGAAATTAAAAACAAATATATATTACTTAAATTCATGGTCGAACAAAAGTTCCGCTGTAGCGCACTGGTTAAACTGTGATGCTTTAGCACCTAAAGTTTCCGGGTTCGAAGCCCGGCTGCCGATTTATTTTTGTTATTATAAATATTTTCCGTTTTCTTCGAAAGGAAACTAAAACGCCACACTTTTCTCTTCGTAACACTGCGAACGGCATACATGTTTTTCCCTAAACGCCACGCAAGTCGACTAGCTTACATCGAAACGCAGCGACGTCTTCAGTTTTTCTGTTTCACTGCGTCGTCTCCGTCTCTTCTCTTCCACAAAACAGTGACCAGAAAAAGAGAGTGATGAAAAAAATCTATTAAGCATTCGATGAACGATCGAGAAAACGAAGAGAAGTCCAACAACGAGCAGACAGGAAACGTGTCGGAACCGGCTATGTCTGCGGCGGCGATCGACGGCGTGGCGGCTTTGAGATCGGTGTTTCAACGGGTAAATCAGGCGGCGGAGAAAGCGGGTCGTGTGTCGGATCGAATACGGGTCGTAGCGGTGAGTAAGACGAAACCGGTTTCTCTGATTCGTCAAGTGTACGACGCTGGTCATAGGTCTTTTGGCGAGAATTATGTGCAAGAGATCATCGAGAAGGCGCCTCAGGTTCTCCGATTTTGTTCTGTCATAGGAAACTTCTAAAAATTGAAACTTTTGTTGGAATTGGATTGAAAAAAGTCTGAAGATTTGTTTTGATTTGAAATTGTAGCTTCCGGAAGATATAGAGTGGCATTTCATTGGGAATTTGCAGAGCAACAAAGTGAAGCCTTTGCTAAGTAATTATTCTGTTGTCATTTCAAAACTCTTGATCTTTACTTTGTTGTTCTTGGTGAATGAGTTTTAGTTGGCCTACTTCAGTCTTCAGATTGTACTGATTCTGTTTGATAATGGTCTGATTCTGAATACTTGGGGTTTCTTTTGCTTGTTTGATCAGCTGGAGTGCCTAACCTTGTGATGGTGGAAAGTGTCGATGATGAGAAGGTAAATATTCTCTTATGTGTATATCGAAAGAGAGTTCATTGGTTTGTAACGTTCTTTGGAGGAAGCTGGAACTTTGAGTGACAGCACTACATATAGTGGAGTCTATACACTGAGGTCAAATGTTTGTTGAAATTTTGTGTGTATTGGGATGGCAATGTTGTGGGTTCGTGGATGTGATTACGAGTTAAGACTACTTAGTAGTAAAACACTTGCTTGGCAGCTCTTTGAAAACATGTTTGTCATATTGTTTTGTAGCTGTCAAATATGCATGTGACAATGAGACAATCACTGCTTTTCTGTAATTACATTTGCTTCATAGATTGCGAATACGCTTGATCGTGTGGTTGGAAACATCGGAAGAAAGCCTTTGAAGGTCATGGTCCAAGTGAATACCAGTGGGGAAGAGTGTAAGAAATTTGAAATCTGCAACTTCTTTACATCCATCTAAAATGTGTTTCCCACTTCCAAGTTTCTTCGTGCTATTCTACATAATCATCTCACTGATACTTTCCAGCTAAATTCGGCGTGGAACCCTCAGGATGCGTAGGACTAGCAAAACACGTGAAGGAAGCCTGCTCGAATCTCGAGTTTTCTGGGCTGATGACAATAGGGATGGCTGATTACACTTCAACCCCAGAGAATTTCAAGGTGTTATATAATCTGAGTTGGACCTAGAAATGTTTGGTAATATTTTGGGAATACTAAAGGAGTTCTCTTTTGTTTCTTATTACATGTGTAGATGCTTGCGAAATGCAGAAGTGAAGTGTGTAAAGAGCTTGGTATTCCGGAGGAGCAATGTGAGCTATCGATGGGGATGTCTGGTGACTTTGAGTTAGCGGTAAGATCTGATGAAGCCATATTGTTTTTTGTTCAAATATTTTAGTAAGTAAATATTCTAAATGTTGTTCAGATTATAAAGAGTTTCTTTTTTGATGTTTGGGATTTTTATAGATTGAACTGGGAAGCACAAATGTGAGAATAGGATCAACGATTTTCGGGGCGAGAGAGTACCCGAATAAGAAGTGAAGTAAACTGCTGCATAAGTCGAAAGTGATGAGATTAATGGTGAAATTATGTTGTCACTTTTTTTTGTACTCACGTTGAAGGTTGGCTCTGTTCTTGCAGTTGCAGTATTGGACTAAGATGTAAGAAGTGGCTACTCTATACACTTCATGGATACACATATATGTACACATGGAAGCAACACATCATATTAATTGATAAGTTTCTTCCCTTGGCTATGAATGTTATAACTTTTGAATTAACTTAAATTTTTGTCACATATCACATATGCGGTAAAACAAAACCTTCTTCTTTGATCTAGACAAACACAAGTGCATATGTATAAAACTCGACTACATACATATATCCAGATCATGTGTTCATCCCCCAAAAAAAAAAAAAAAACTAATATACTTGTGTGTAACTAACATTAACAGGTATATATAACTCTTATGTTGAAACATATTACAAAACATATCCCTTTTCAAATGAAACATTGAAATCATTAGTTATTCAAAGAATATGAAAATTTGTAAAGAAAACAAAATTGGAATAAACGAAGATAGTTGTCTAACTTCTTTTTCTTCTGTCTAAAGATGTTACAATACCTTCTTGGATTCGAGCCAAACTCGGGACATAACTAAACGTTTCTCCCCAGCTTTTATGTTTGTCAAACAATCTTTTATGTTTCTTTAAAAAAGGAAATTAAAAACAAATATATTTATTTAAATTCATAAACTAACAAAAGTTCCGCTGTAGCGCATAGGTTAAACTTGATGCTAAAGTATAAGAGCATCATTATTGATGATCTTTTGTGGGTATTATTAAATATAAAATTATTAAAATTTGAGTAAAAAGAAGAAAGAGAGTGTTTTTGGTTGAAATAATGGAGTGTATTGAAATATAAAATTAATAAAATTTGAGTAAAAAGAGGAGATAAGTTGATACTTTTGGAGAGAGAGTGTCTTTGTATCAATGGATTGATATTTTTGGAGAGAGTTTAAACTTTAGTTGGGGTGTGTTTAAATATAAAATTAATAAAAGTTGAATAAAAAGATGAAAGAGAAGGTATAAAGTTGAGTAAAAAGAAGAGAGAATGTGTGTTTTAATAATTTTATACCTAATGATACCCACCAAAGATCATCAATAATGATGGTCTAAGAATCATGTTCCGGGTTCAAAGCCCGGCAGCAGAAAATATTTTGTTAAACAATGTTTTATGTTATTGAAAAAGAAAGGAAATTCATAATCTACAAAAGTTTTGCTGTAGCGCACAGGTTAAATTAAGATGCTTTGGCACCTTGAGTTCCGGGTTCGAAGCCTGGCTGCAGATTTTATTTTTGTTGCTATAAATCTTTTTCTTCGAAAAGAAACTGAAAACGCCACACTTTTCTCTTCGTAAAACTGCGAACAGCATACATGTTTTTTTCTCTAAACGGCACGCAAGCATTCCATGAACGATCGAGAAAACGAAGAGAAGCCCAACAACGTATCTGAGCCGGCTATGTCTACGGCGGCGATCGATGGAGTGGCGGCGTTGAGATCGGTGTTCCAGCGGGTAAATCAGGGGGCGGAGAAAACGGGTCGTTTGTCGGATCGGATACGGGTCGTAGCGGTGAGTAAGACAAAACCGGTTTCTCTGAGTCGTCAAGTCTACGATCGACGCTGGTCATAGGTCTTTTGGAGAGAACAATGTGCAAGAGATCATCGAGAAGGCTCCTCAGGTTCTCTGGTTTTGTTCTGTTCTTTCGAAATTTCTAAAAAAATTGAAACTTTTGGTATATAGGGATGGCAATGTCATGGGTTTGTGGATGTGATTACGAGTAAAGACTACTTAGTCGTAAACCACTTGCGTCGTATTAGAGCTCTTACTTGGCAGCTCCTTGAAAACATGTTTCGTAGCTGTCAAATATGCATGTGACAATCTATGGTTTTCTGTAATTACGTTTGCTCCATCGATTGCAAATACGCTTGATCGTGTGGGAAGAAAGCCCTTGAAGGCCATGGTCCAAGTGAACACCAGTGGCGAAGAGTGTAAGAAATTTAAAATTTGCAACTTCTCAAATGTTTTCCTACTTCCACGTTTCTTTATACATTTCATGGATACACATATACATTATATTAATCAATAAGTTTCTTCCCTTGGCTATGAATGTTCTAATGGCGGCTCGCATGTTTTTTAAGATATAAAGAAGAAGAAAAATAACAAAACTTTCTTCTTTGATCTACACAAACACAAGTGCCTAGCAGCGTATGTATAAAACTCAACTAGATACATATATCCAAATCATGTGTTGTATGATTGATGACATGAATTCTACTGTACTTGGAACTTGTAGTACAATCCTTTTGCTTCAAAGGCGTGAGAAACAAGTTATATGTGTTCGATCCCAACAAAAAAAACTACTATACTTGTGTGTAACTAATAGGTATAACTCTTATGTTGAAACACATCATAAAACATATCCATTTTCAAATGATAATATTGAAATCATTAGTTATTCAAAGAATATGAAAATTTGTAAAGAAAACAAAATTGGAATAAAAGAAGAGAGTTGTCTAACTTCTTTTTCTTTTGCCTCTACCTGTTACGATACCTTGTTGGATTCGAGCCAAACTCGGAACATAACTAAACGTATCTCCCCAGCTGATGTGGTCAGTAGATTCACCAAGAGAGATTTCTCTGAATTTATCCTCTTCCTCTTGTACCAAATTTCCTGTGAACCTCGAGTGATTTTGAAAACAAACAACAGCTTTCTTATCATAGTTGATGAGTAAACTTTCACCATTGTTAAGTGGAAGATAATAAGGGTTGCCTACACGCACTTTTAAGACTTTGCTCCACGACACACTTGTGGTCTCAATCTTCGTACTCACCCATATCTCCATCTCATTTCCTGTATCAAGGTTCAAATGTAACACCGAAAGTTGTTCTTCTCTAACAACTGCTAAAGACCAATCACAACCTAAATCATGATTGTGACAAGGAAAAGGCAGACATTGAAAATTTTCCGTTGAAAAGTCAAAACTTAGTACTACATAGTGGTTGTCTTGATTGTTTTTGGATAAAGCAATCCAGTAAGTATTTCCTTTCAAAGACACCCACGCGAAATGATTTTGTATGATGCAGTTGGGAGGGAAGTCATCGTCAAGAAGCCTCCATGAGTTTGAGCAAAACTCAAAGATTTCCATTCTTTGCCTGGAACCATTAAAGAATCTCCTCAAGATTTTGTACTTGTGGCACAATATCTTGTTTTCGTATCCGAGAGAATACGTATCAAAAAGACATGTGGACCGCTTTCTAGTTTTGAGCCAAATGGTTTGACCAGTACACGGATTCCAAACCACCAATCTCTTGGTCTTCTTGATGATGCATAACAATAAACCGTCGCAATGAATAACTTTATTTATATCGATTTCTGAGTTATGACCAGAATTGAGTAAAGTTAAGTTTACGTGTAAACTCTATAGATGGATCAACATTGTTGTGAATTCCATGGAGATTGAAGCTAGCTGAGTAAACCCTAGAATTCATCAATGTAACTACGAGAGACTGCCTCGACGCTTTATCAAAGTGGTTTTTGATGAATCTCGGATCTTCGACCAAACCGTTCCAACGTTTGCAAGTGAACCGTGATATTCCTAGATATGTCACCGGAACCCTAAAGAGTATATGCTCTATCAGATCACTTGGAAGATCAGAAATCATCATCGTTTCAACTATGAACAGAGGCTGCAGCTTCTYCCGTAATATAAATTAGGGTTTTAGACTTTCACGCTTGCCCAAAACTTAAGTTGTCACATATGGTTTCTAATTTATAATAAGGACATTAATTTGCAAAAGGAAA